AAGTTTTTTTTTTTTTTTTTTTTTTTTTGTTGAGTTTTTTCTTATCTATGGGTCAAAAATGGGAAACGAAAAATGAAAAAAGAAAGTTAAACTTATAGTACAGTACACTCTGTTTTTATTCATGTGAAAATGTGATAATCCAAAAGGTCATCTTTAAATTTAATAATTATTTCTGTGTTCTGAGACCTCAAATAGCACCATTCAGCTTTTCTCGACTTGCATGCGCAGTCCGTAAATTTTTTCGAAAAGTTTTGATTAATGTTTGCTTTTGTTGATACCGGGTCCATATTTTGGTTTCAGAACCCGGTGTAGCTCCATTACTATATTTATGGCTTGTCTGCCAATTTTGGTGAGAAACGGAGCTGGTTTGACGTGATTTGGACGTCCGGTTGTTAAAATAGAAATTCTAAAGTTTTCTTAAAAATTTTATTTGATTTGGTGTCTGATTCGCAGTTCTAGGCATTATTTTGATGTTTTGATCGTGCGAGCAAGTTCGTATGATATTTTTGAACTTGTGTGCATGTGCGGTTTAGAGCCCTAAGGGTTCGGGTGAGTTTCGGATAGCCTACGGACCTTTTGAACTGTGGAAAAATCTAGTTTTTGAGCTTTAGTTGTCATCTGGCGCATGGTGCTTCGCGATCGCGAAACCATTCCAGCGATCGCGAAGAGAAAATTATGAGCCGTGATTTTTACCCTTTGCGTTCGCGAAGATAGGCATGCGATCGCGGAAGGTTAGCTCCCAGTGCACCGCGAACGCGTAGAGTTGATCGCGTCCGCGAAGAGGAAATAAGGCACAAGCTGGGGCACTCAAATTTGTTCTTCGCATTCGCATGAAGTGGTCCGCGATCGCGAAGTCTGCAGGGTTATGCTTCGCGTTAGCGTATGGGATGTCGCGTTCACGTAGTGCAAATTGGCAGCATGTGCAAGTTGTGCTTCACGATCGCGAAGCCATTCCCGCGATCGCAAAGAGTAAAATGGACTTGGGCACAAATTATTCTACGCTATCGCGAACGGATTCCCGCGATCGCGATGAGTAAAAACCTAGACAACAGAACTTAAGTTCTGGAAATGGGATCTCGCCCTATTTTTCATTATTCACGATTTTGAGCTCGGGTAACGCGATTTTTGGACGATTTTCACGGGGAAACATCGAGGTAAGCGTTCCTTATCCTATATTGATTATATTTCATGATTCCATGCTCATTTATGTTATGAATCCGTGAATTTATTGAAGAAAAATCAGATTTTTATAAAATCTTCCAAAATATAAAATGAAGTTTTGAAGGTCAATCTGATGTCGGAATTCGATAATTTTTGCATGGTTGAACTCGTATCGGAACGGGTGTTAGGATTTTGTGAGTTTTTTTAGGGATTCGAGACGTGGGTCCCACTGTCGATTTTTAAAATGAATTTCGAATTTTAATTCGAAAAATTAGTAAATTCATATGGAATTAATTTCTACGATTTATATTGAGTATATTGAATTGTTTATGACTAGATTTGAGATTTTCGGACATAGATTCGCGAGGAAAAAGGTTTATTGGAATCTTGAATTTGGTTGCAAAGCGAGGTAAGTGTCGTGGTTAACCTTGACTTGAGGGAATAGAACCTTTGAATGATTTGTTATATGAAATTCATGTGAATGACGTATAGGCGAGGTGACGAGTGTTTATACGTCGTCAAATTAATTGTTTGCATAATTATTTAAACATCATAAATTATTTTAAGACATGAATTAATTGTTATAATAATTATTTCTCTCATATTCCTTGTCAAATATTAACTCTTGATTTCATGCAATAATTGTTACATGCTTATTTGATTTATGTGTCTTAATTGTTGCTTGACATTTAGCATATTAAATATGAAATTGCCTATTTTTTCTCTGATTTTTTCACAATTAATTGCTACTTATCATTACTTATTTTCTGAATAAATTATAATCATTGTATGCTTTATTTTCCAATAATTTCTTATTGAATGTGGTATTTATTGA